GAAAGCTATGCGTTAGAGCTAATCCAAAATTTTAACAACTTTCAGCACCTTTTATGATTAATTTTTGCTTATACTTTATCTTGTAAACAAGTGCTGAGTTGAAAGGAAAGTCCTCCCTTCCAAATTGTCGCATGGTTAAGTCATAACTCTTCTTTTTTACAGATCCACAATATTTCAGCTAGGTAATACTAATAATATAAATAATTATTAGTAGTAATATTACTAATAATTTGTCTCATTAGTGCAGCACACTACTGACTCCCCTTATCAGTAGCGCGAAAGTGGCGACAGATGAAGTGAACACTTAATTGTAACGGTCGGTATTGATACGGCGTTCAACGCCGAGACGATTAGCAGTTTGAAGCCAGCTGAGTTCAAACGAGGCCGCATTGTCGAAGGCAATAAATCCAAAATACTTAACGTTTGTCAGGAGCCATCATGGGAGTGTTCTAAAAGATGCTACGAAAATCCGTTTTTGTCGTCGCATCAGTTCTTATTGATGTTATGCCTAATCAACACTTCATACTAGAACTTTCTCTCCGCATTGTATTAAAAACGCATAGAAAAGCTCAATTTCCTCATGTTTATATCTAACCCAGTTGGGGGAACGATTGACCGTGAGCTAGGTGACAAGGGACCTGAGGACATGGTTTTTTGTTTGTTTTAGACCATGGCGTTAGGCTTGCGGAATCATAAAAATAGCTTAAACGTACTGTTCATTTCCACTTTCTGAATTGATCTACCAGATCTGTGGGCTCACACCTAACGATACGATACCTTTACATTGTTGAAGTTACAAAAAAATGATAGTAGCTATTATCTAACTTGGTAGAAAGTTATAATAACCTTTTTGTTCATTCACATTCTTAATCTGATCATTTTTTAAATAAAATCATCTGTGTGAGAAGTTTCAACAACAAAAAAAAAACTCACTAGGAATTACAAACAAATGTGTGTATACCGCTATGTGCAAAATGGTTCTCGAAATCGTATGTCAAACTACCTTTAGCTATTATAACAATTGCAAGTCGCCTCAACGAGTCGGTCACCTACTGTAACTATGATGCAAAACTTCGC